TTCACGCAGGGCAGGGTCAGGCCTGTGCTGTCCCTCCCTTCCCCGGGGCTGGCAGGGCCAAGCTGGGGCTGCCCTGGCTCATCAGGGCTCAGTGCAGTTGATTGCATGGCAGGCAGGCTGGCAGCAGGGAGGCAGAGCTGCTAAATGTGCTCACTCACTCTCATCAGCCTCTCCTTCTTCCCCAGCCCAGCATGGCAGCTTGGGGAGGCACAGTGCTCTCCTCTCCTTTAAAAGGGTTTTTTTTTCCTTTGCTTCTTAAGTCTCTTTAAAGGCATTTCTAGGCCTGTTAATTATTCATGATGCTGTAATTATGTTTAGTCCACTGTGATCACTCTTTCTTTGGTGAAGAAAGTTGTTATTTGTGAGTCAAAAGCTCTTTATGAAGCAGACAGGCTGGTATCTTGTCAGAAAGGCTTGGGGGAGCAGTTGGAATTATTAAAAGAAGCTTTGATTAAAGACAGGGAGTTAATTTAACAAGAGTAACTGGTTTTCTCTCTCTTTTTATTTTGTGCAGAACAAAGCACAGCCAGGGATGTGTCAGGGCTCACCTGGAGCAGCAGGGCTCACTCAGATGCCCCAGGAGATGGGCAGAGCATCCCTTTTATCTCTTTTGGGTGCTGTGAGTGGCTTTTGTCCACAGGCTTAGAAATGAAATTTGGCTGTGAGGGTGAAGCTCAGAGCAGCTGCCTTTGATCCTGCCAGGCTCAGGCCAGACTGGCTGCAAACAGCCTGGTGTGTCCTGTTGGATCTGAAAATATCATTTATTCTGCTGAGTTTGGGAGGGGAGGGGGCCTGGAGCTCCTCATTTTCCCTCTGTCACGGTGGCACTGAGGTGAATCATCCAACGGGGGAATTCAGCCTCATCTGAACCCTGCAGTTCTGCAGATTCTGGGTTCTGCATAAACTGAGGGCGTTGGGGCAGGGATTATTCTGTGTTGGCTCTGAAATGCCATTAAACTGAAATTTTAGCCTGTTAGTTCTTGGAGATGGACAGACAGCTTTCTTTCCCAGCAGTGGGAAGGATTTTCTTTGCATTATTTTTTCTTCTTCTTTTATATAAAGAAAATAATCTTTATTTTGAAAGTGCTGATTAAGCCTGGCTGAGGGTCCACCTGCACAAACACCGAACCTTGAGAAAACAGCGCAACATAAATTAAAATATTCCAAAATAAAATCCTCCAGTCCTCCAGCATGAATCCAGCTGGGCACCTGTGCCTTCCTCCCCTTCCTCCTCCCATCCTGCCCAGCCCTCTCCTGCCTGGCACAGGGGAGACATTTCAGACCATTTCCCTTCTGGCTGTGCCCTTCTGCAGCTTTCCTCTCCCACGTCTGATTCTCGTGGCTGCAGGCAAGACAAACACCAGGGTTCTCAGGGGTAGACTGGGGTAAGGGAGGAAAAAGGAAAAGCAAGTCAGAAAAAAGGCAAATTTCATGTGCGGGCAGCTTTTGCTCTGTGGGTTTGAGCTGTGCAGCGGAACCAGGACTCCTCAGAGCCCAGAGTAAAGCAGAACAAAACAAGCAGATGGACATCAGGGTGGCTTGTGCAAGTCTCTATTTAATGACAGAGCTGCATGAAGACATTGTTGGTGTCACATGTACCTGTGATGGGCATTTTATACATTCCTGACTCCCAGGGGAGCCGTGTTTGCACTGGAGATTTTCACCACAAGAGGTAGTGGCTTTATTTTTCCTGTTTTCCTTTTTTTTATTATCATTATTATTATTATTATTATTTCAGCAGGATTGGATAAGCTGGTTGGACCTACTGGAGTTCATTTACTCTTCAGCCAGGAAGATAAACAGTTCTGTGGAGTGGGAGCAAGCAGGCAAGCAGCAAATACAGTGCAGGCAGAATTCACTGGCTTTTAATTCAAACCTGTTTGGGGGTGCAGAGATCCCCACCCAGGGCTTCAGCAAGCTGGGAACCACAGGGAGGGAAAGCAGGACCAGGAAGACTCAATAAGCAGAACAAAAGCTTCAATTATAAATAATGAATCCCAAAAGAGGGGCTAGAGCAAGGCTCTGAAGGTCTGGAGGAACAAAGAAATGAAATCTTCTGCTTAAGGTGGTTTTAAAAACCAGCTCAGTGCCCTTCCCATCAGCAGCAGAGGTCCTTGGGGAAGCAGGGGTTGATTTTTCCAGGGTGAAAGGAACAGTGAGGTCTGGGTTTGGCAGGCTCAGAGATGGGGAGAGGCTCCCAAATCCCTTGGGCTGGGCTCTGAGGGGCTCCCAGTGGTCTCCTGGTGCCAGCACCCCCTGCCCCTGCTCCTGGCACTGCTTCACTCCTTGGACACCAGAGGTGAGGATGACTTTGGTGCTGTCTCCAAGAGGGGAAGGCCCAGTCCTGGCTTTCAAAGTGCTTTGTTTGCTGTCTGCAAGTGCAGGAGTTGTCTGGGGGAGGAAAAGCTGCTGCAGAGATGGGCAGGCCTGGCACTGCCACCCTCCCAAGGGCACTGGGGACCTTCACACTCCCACAGTTCAGCCTGGAGTGGTGGGAAGGAGCAGCTTCAAGTGTCCTGGGGATGAAGGCTGCAGGTGATTCCTCACAGCCAATATTGCAGCTCTGGAAATCACACCTGGGGGCTTGCTCCACATGAAGAACACTGCCTTTCCCTGCAGCTTTCTTCCCTCCATGGCATTTTGGAAGAGTTTTTCAGGTGGGTTGAGCTCTGAGGTTCTGCTTCTAGATTCAGAAAAAAAAAAATTTGGGAGCGAGGTGCACAGCACTGGAGATGAGGGTTTTAAAACTGGACACAAAGTAAAATTATGGCACAAAGGGAAGATATTATCCACATTATCCTGAGGGATATTATTATTCCATTTATCCTGTTATTATTCCACTTATCCTGAGGGCTCACACCAGCCTTTAGTATAGGGCAAACATCACCTATGGCAACTTCCAAATGCTTTAAAGCTTTTTTTGGTCTATATATGTCATATTTGCTATTTTTGTTCAGCTCCCCACCTGTTAATTCCCCAAGTCAAATGGATCTTTCTGCTTGTAAATACATTAAAAGATGGACCAGTAGCTTGTTGCTATTTTTCTGCCCCAAAATCTCCTGCCTTTGCACCATTCTGTGGATATTGGGGTACAAGTCTGAGTGGATTCCCACCACGGAGTGAATTTGGTTGGTTGAAACTGAGGGGAAGAAAGAAGAGCTCACGTGTGCCTGAGATCCCTTGAGCTGGAGTTCCCAGTTTTGCAGCTTTTAGCTCTGAAGAGCCAGGTTCAAATGTTACCCAAGGCTGTGGGCTGAAAATCAAAGCCCTGGGTTCCAGCCCGTTCCAGGAATGCCAGGTTTGGAACAGAAACCTGGGGATTAAGGTGGGACTGGTGCTTCCATTTCAGAAAGCAGCTGAGATTGTGTGCTAGAGCTGCTTGGTGCAATCTCCTCCTGAACCAGGGCTGGAACATCTCCTACCAGCACAGGAGGGTGCTCTGCTAGCAACACAGCAAATCCAGGGAATTAAAGGAAACCTCGGCAGAGCTTCACCTCATCTGAAGCAGAAACTGAGTGAATATTCCACAAACTGCATAGAGGAAAAAAAAGGGATTCTATTGCTCTCCCATTTGTGACTTTACTCCTTTAGAAAGCAGCAGGAAACTGCACCCTGGGAGTCTGCCCCTGTTTATGGCTATTGCAACCCTCTGCTGCTCCACATCCTGCAGGAATTTCTAGCCAGACCTATTTCCACGTTGTTTTATTCACCTTGCTGTGTTTTATTTACAGAGATATTGCAAAATATCATGTGAACTGAGTACAAATAGCACGTAGAGCGTGGGTTTGGCAGTGCCAGATTCAGCGTGGTGAGATGATGCTCTTGTGGGGTTTCCATTCCTAGAATCCATGGAAAAATAGACAGCAGAGAGTAAAGGATGCTGGAAACATCCAGACCTTCCCAGACTCCAGCTTGGACACAGGAGCTGGTCCAGGCAGGGGCTTTCTTGGATTTTTATTCTGGCTTTTTCCAAAATGCACAGTTTTATCTCCTTGACTGTTGATTTAAATTAGGCACAATGTTATTCTGCACTCTCTGGGGAGAGACAGAGGCAAATCAGACCTGAGGCGCTCCTTGGGGCCCCTGATTTGGGTGAGAAGAAGCAGCTCTGGCCTGGCTGGGTGCTCAGGGTGCCTCCCCTGGCACAGTGTCCTCGTGTCTGTACATTCACCACGCTGCCACCCTCCCCTGCTGTCACCTGGGCAGAGCCTGGAGATGAGATGCTGGTGGGCAGAAATCGCTGATGGGAGGTGAGGGGGTCCTGTTGGATGTACACCATGCAAGACAAGGTTCCACTCCTTGAGTTCCTCTCTCTCTATCTCTTTTTTCTTTTTTTTTTGGCTTGGGGCTCCACAATCCATCCTGTTCATTCCTATTTACACCGATGGTTTGATGTGAGACTTGATGCCCCCTTCTCCCTTCCACCCATGGCTCGTAGGCTCCCGCTGCTGCAGGGTCTGGGGGTGGCAGAACCTTCTCGACCCGCCTGGGGACCTCTGAAAGTTCTTGGGTTGGTTTTTTATGGAATTTCTGAAGGCTTCAGCAGTTAAACACCGGGTGAGTCAGCTCGAGGTGAAGGCAAAGCTATTGCACGGAGCTTGCAGAGGCCCTGGCTGGCTCCTGCTGCCAGGGGGAAGCATGGCCTTGTCTTTGGTGAGAGTTGGACCACTGTGACCCAGCGCTACCTCCTGCTGCCCCGTGGCCACCCCGTGTCCACAGCGCCCTCCAGGCCGGGTGGCCACGGGCGAGAACCGAGCGAGAGCTCCTCGGCTCCTGCACCTCCACTTCCAACACAGCGTGAGGCTGGCTCTGCAAAGCGCCCTTGGGGCCGGTCCAGAGGTCACCCAGCGGGGTGAGACACCCTCCCACCTCATTGCAGCCCCACCAGGCGCCCGGGCACCGCGCGGTGCCCAGCTCCAGAGCTCCAGCCCCCTCCCCGGCACGGATGGCATCGCTCCCTCTTCCCCCTCCGTCCCTAAAAAAAAGCGGGCGCTGTTTGTGGCTTTAGCAGTGGAGGATCTTCATGAAAGCCTTGCGAAACTCGATGTTGAAGGTGGTGTAGATAATGGGGTTGACAGCGCTGTTGACGTAGCCGAGCCACGTGAAGGCGCTGTACATGGCCGGCGGGATGTTGCAGTCGCAGTGCATGTTCAGGATGTGAGTGATGAAGAAGGGGAGCCAGCAGATGATGAAAACACCTGGGGGGGAAAAGGAGAGAGGAGGAGTTTGATGGCTGAAATCTGGGCGGGTTCTCGGGCTGGGGGAACAGCAAGGTTCAAGAGAAGGGGAATTTACTTCACAGAGGAATGGGATTTGTGTTTGTGTGCTCAGTGTGCTGGTCTGCGTCCTGCCCTGGCACTAAGGAACTCCTCTGCTCGAGGAATGAGCCCAGACACAGCAGAAACTCTGCCCTTCAGAGGTGCCAGCTCTGCTGAGCTCTGCTGCCTTTTGTTCCAGAAAGCCCAGGAGCTCTTCCCTGGGTTTGGGAGCTCAGATGCCCCCGAGAGGGGCAGCTTTGGGCACCCTTAGTGCAGCACTGTGCCAGCTTAGTGCACTGTGCACCCTCGGTGCCAGCTGTGTGTGGCTGGGGAGGAGGGACCCCTCCCGTGGGCAGCCCTTTGCCTGTCACAGGCATCTTTTATGGAAAATCCTTTCCTTGGGATTTTTTTCCTCCTGAAGAGCTGAGAGGCCTCAGGAACAAAATGTAACCAATGGTTATCTGCTGCTGTGGAATGCAACAGGGGCATCTGGGATTGGTCTCATGTGGTTGTTTCTAATTAATGGCCAATCACAGTCCAGCTGTCTCAGACTCTCTGTCTGAGCCACAAGGCTTTGTTATCATTCCTTCTTTTTCTATTCTTAGCCAGCCTTCTGATGAAATCCTTTCTTCTATTCTTTTAGTATAGTTTTAATATATATCATAAAATAATAAATCAAACCTTCTGAAACATGGAGTCAACATTCTGGTCTCTTCCCTCATCCTCAGACCCCTGTGAACACCAGCACACTTTGCCTGCCACCCTCTACTGTGTGAAGGGAAATGAGTTCTGGGGGGGTTGGAAAATCAGCCTGCATGGGACAGGGGTTTCTGCAGGGAGCCCAGGGCAGCCAGGGCACGCTCTCACCGAGCACGATGGCCAGCATCTGCGTGGCTTTCTTCTCCTTCTGCTGGGACAGTTTCCTCCTGATCACGGCCTTGAGCAAGTTCCTCGTCTTGCCGTTGGGCAGGGAGTGGATCTCGAAGACCTTGGCTGTGTGGTGGGAATCTTTGGCATGGCCATTCTTCTCCACCTTCCCAGGGCTGCTCAGGGGTGCCTGCAGGGTAGAGTTGTTGCCCCGATTAGAAGCAACTGGCACAATCAACTGGTGGTTACTTGGTGCTGTGGGTTTGAGGGCCGTTTTCTCAGGGGGACTGGTACTGGACACCATCTCCATTTCCATCTCTTCTATGTGACTCTCTGCCTCCTGGACAAGAATCAAATGTCCACAACATAATGACAGGTAAATACACAGAGAGGAGCAACGAGCATTCCTTACAGAGTGAAGCTGGATGATGCTGGAGAACAGTCAGTCCCTCTTCTCCCTCCCTGCCTGGAGAAAGGGCTGTGCTGTGCTGGGGTATTCTGGGCAGATGGGATGGACAGGGCTGCACTGGAGGATTCTCAGGCTCAGAGGCTCAGAAATGGGGGAGACGCTGTCTCCACTCTCTACAGATTTTGTTCAGGTTTTCAGAATGCAAATAAATAAAAATGGAATCGGCAACCAAAACCCAACAAAGCCAATGCAGTCCAAGATTTAAATAACAGAGAGGAGAAGGAACTCAAAGGCACAAAAATGTTCAAATGCCATGGCTTTTAGAGCTGATCTTTCGGTGAGCTTAATCTGGCTTTGTGAGCTCTGTGAGCTTAAACCCCCTGCTTCACTCCAAGGAATGGGAAGACTATTTAAATTTTGAGATTGAATGGTAACCTTTGCTCTTAGGTTTATTTTTCTCCCACCCTACATAAATGAACCTCGTGTCCTGAGGGAGAAGGGGAAGGCTGAAGGCTCTGGAAAGCTCCCACTTCTCTTTAACACTCACCACTTTGCGCTTATTAACTTGGAAGCTCCCATTGGACTTCACAATAACTGTGCAGAGCTTGACGTCTTCTGGATGAGTGCATTTGTCCTAAGGGGCAAGCACCAGCTCAGAGGTTACACAGGCAGAGAGGGGTTGGGAAGGGAAGCTGGTAAGGGAGGCACGTGGGAACACAAAGGGATGAATCAGGAGTTCACCAGCGCGGCTCAGGAGCCGAGCAGGATGGAGAAGTGGATGGAGCAGGGATGGAGGCTGCTGGCCCTGTGCTGTGCACCAGGGGAAGGAGGCCACGGAGCTCTGCTGTGTGTGTGTGTCCCTGTGTGGCTGCCTCCTCTGCAGGCAGCACGGTTTGGAGCTGCAGCATCCCCCAGGCTGTGCTGCCTGTGCTGCCAAAGCCCTGCTTTGACAAGTGGGTTCACAGCCAGCCCGCCCAGCTGGGCTCCCTCACACACAGCTCCTGCAGGGACAGGCTGGTCCTGCAGAGCTGTCCTTCCCAGAGAGGAGCTGTGCACCCCAGGCACTGCCACCGAGCTCTGGGGACACCTGACAGCCCCCAAAGGGGGGTTCCAGGAGAGCTGGAGAGGGGCTTGGAGTGGTGGGGCATGAGGGAATGGCCTTGAACTAAAGGAAGGTGGGTTTAGATTGGGTATCAGGGAGAAATTCCTCCCTGGGAGCATGGGGAGGCCCTGGCACAGGGTGCCCAGAGCAGCTGTGGCTGCCCCTGGATCCCTGGGAGTGTCCAAGGCCAGGTTGGATGGGGTTTGGAGCAGCCTGGGACAGTGGAAGGTGTCTCTGCCCATGGGCTTCAGTGTCCTCCTGACCCAAACCATTCCTTGATTCTGTGATTCTGCAGGACCGACTCACACAATGGTGCAGCCTCTGTTCTTGGCTACCCCAGCCCAGCCCAAGGCAATGCTGGGGGTCGCTGCAGCAGTTCCTGGTGCAGATCTGCTGCTGGAACAGCCCTGAGCTCCAGGGAAGCCCCAGCCCGCCAGCCGGGAGCCCAGGAAGTGCAGCCGGGAGCCCGAAGTGACCACAGCACGCGGCTGTGGGAGCTCTGCCCCAGGCAGGGCGGTGTGGGGCAGGGGAGCAGGGCAGGGGGAGGTGTTGAGGCTGGCTACCTTCAGGGGGGCCTGCGTGTCCGAGTCCAGCACGTGGCTGCTGCGCTTGGTGCTGACGCGCTTCCTGCGCCGCCGCAGCACGATGTAGATCTGCACGTACACCAGCAGCGTCACCATGAAGGGCACGTAGAAGGACACGATGGACGAGTACACCACGAAGGCAGGGTTGCCAATGATGCACTCCTTCTCATCTGCAAGAGAAAACCTCTCAGGGTTGGTGTCCCTCGGGCTGGAGGGGGTCACATCACCCCCAAAGTCCTGGCTGCTCCTTGCCTTGCAGCTCAGCACTGCTGATCCCATGCTGGATCCAGCCCAACATTCCCAGGAAACTGCTGCCTGGACTGCCAGTCCTTTTCTCTGCTGCCTCAGGGAAGGTTTTGTCCCATGGCTTCCCTTTTCGTGTGTTTTAATAGAAGGAGGATTTTGAATTTGTAGTGGACAAATGTTAAGGTAACACAGATTGGTGTTGTGTGAACTTCTACATCACCTCAGTTCTGGTGAGACTGAAACCCTGCTCTGGAGATGAAACAGACCCAGAATCAGTGTGCAAACAGTGAGGCATGGCAGAGGGAGAGAACATTTCAAATACACCCCAGACCTGATCCCACCTTTATTCCTGGCTGTCTGGGAGGGAGCAGGAGGGAGCTGCAGAGGGAAAGAACACTTGTAATATACTTCAGACCTGATCCCACCTTTATTCCTGCCTATCTGGGAGGACAGAAGGAGCCAGCTGCAGGTGGCAGAGGGACAGAATATTTCAAATACCCCTCTGGGGTATTTGTCTGGGAGGTATATATCTGGGAGGGCAGCATGCAGGTGGCAGAGGGACAGAACATTTCAAATATACCTCACACCTGATCCCACCTTTATTCCTGCCTGTCTGGGAGGGAGCAGGAGGGAGCTGCAGAGGGAAAGAACACTTGCAATATACTTCAGACCTGACCCCACCCTTGTTCCTGGCTACCTGGGGGGACAGCAGGAGGCAGCTGCAGGTGTCAGAGCCCTCACCTGTGTTGTTGAGGCCGAAGAGGAGCGGGCAGGAGATGGCAAAGGAGAGCACCCAGACCACGGCAATCATGACGGTGACCCTGCGCTTGGAGCTGTAGCGGGTGTTGTAGAGCATGGGCATGGCCACGGCCGTGTACCTGCAGGGGACACATCCCCCAGGCTGCTGTCACCCTGCCAGGGCTGCCACTGCCCAGCCCTGCCCGCCAAGCACGGGTCATGGGTGCCAGGGGGCTGCAGCCACGCCAGGAGGGTGAGGCTGGGTCAGCTCGTGGTGTTCTCTTCCCACCCTTCCCACCAACGCCCCTGCACCATCCCAGAGTACAAAGAGAAGGGCCAGAGCCATGGAGCACAGAGCAGTTCCATCTGCACCCCCAGGAGCAGAGTTTCTGTGCCTCCTGACAGAACTGCCTGCTCACAGCTCATCAGGATCCTCTGGGATGCTCTTCAAACACTCCCACAGTTTCCCAGCCTCTGAGTCCCACAGGGATGGCTGGGCCTTGCCAGCCTGGGTTTGGCACAGCCTGGTGGCACAGAGCCCTCACCTGTCAATGCTGATGGCACAGAGGTTGAGGATGCTGGCAGTGCACATCATGACATCCAGGGTGACAAAGATATCGCAGTGGATGCGGCTGAACCGCCACTCCCCAACCACCTGCAGAGAGAGCATGGGTGGTGAGCAATTCCTTGGGTTAGAGAGCAATTCCTTGGGTTAGAGAGCAATTCCTTGGGGTTAGTGAGCAATTCCTTGGGGTTAGTGAGCAAACTCTGCAGCTGGAGAGCAATCCCTGGGGTTAGAGAGCAATCCCTGGGTTAGAGAGCAATCCCTGGGTTAGAGAGCAATCCCTGGGGTTGGAGAGCAATCCCTGGGGATGGTGAACAATCCCTGGGGTTAGTGAGCAATCCCTGGGCTGGAGAACAATCCCTGGGGCTGGAGAGCAATCCCTGGGGTTAGTGAGCAATCCCTGGGGCTGGAGAGCAATCCCTGGGGTTAGAGAGCAATTCCTGGGGTTAGAGAGCAATCCCTGGGGTTAGTGAACAATCCCTGGGGCTGGAGAGCAATCCCTGGGGCTGATGAACAATCCCTGGGGTTAGAGAGCAATCCTTGGGGCTGATGAACAATCCCTGGGGTTAGTGAACAATCCCTGGGGTTAGTGAGCAATCCCTGGGGCTGGGCTGCTGGCAGGGCACAAAATGAGAGTCTGGCACGAAGATGGAGAGGCTGGTGGGTGGTTGGGGCTGTGCTGGGCCAAGGCAGAGCTCTGCCCCTTCCAAGGGGCTGCTGTGCTTCCACCCCGCTGCTCTCTGTGGTTTTAGGCAGCCCCAGCACAAACCTGGGCTCACAAGGGAAGATAAAGGAGTTTAAACATCTCCTCGAAGGATTTCAAGGCAGAATGAGGAGGGACACACATTCATTTTCACTCCCAAGCACCTCTAATTTTACTCACAGCTTTTCCCAGACAGTTTTTCCAATTGCACCCAGCAAAGGTCAGCAGCAGACAAGCAAGAGCTTCCCTTCATTTCTTAGTTTAAAAAATCGGGGTAGGCAATCCTCACCTTTATCTTTTTATTTTTGGTGAACAAAATGAGTTTGATTCAGAGTGAAAAGCCTTTAACACTCCACAGGAAGTGCTAAAGACAAAGAACTAATGATAACACTTCCAGGCACCAGTAGCCTTTTTTCTCTTCACTTCTCTTGCTGTTGAAGCTGAACTTTGCCAATTAAGTTTAATAGCAATTATTCGGACTGCTGTGTTTGACATGTGATGAAAAAAAAGTATATTTCCCTCTAACAAAAATAGAGCCCTACTGCATTTGAAAATAGAATGAATAAGATATCTATTCTTCAGTTATTTCTGCTCTGATATACATAACCATAGGCAGCATAAAGAAGGGAGAATGACTGCATTGAAGCCTGAGTGACAGATGAATACTCAGTGATTAAAAAAGCACTTAAGAGACAGTTACATCAAGAACTTTGAGGAGAATTTGCCCAAAGGCAAAGGTTTCCAGCCAGATCCAAACCTCTGTGAAACCGATTTCCTGCAGGCATGGTTTGGGGGAAGCTGGGAACTGCAGCAGTTCTTTCTCTTGGTGTTTTCATTTGTGCTGGAGAAACCTCCAAAATTTGGGGGGAAAAGATCTGTGTGCACCAAGGCTGGGGTTTTTTCAAGTGTTTCATTTTGATTTTGAGTTTTAGGCCAAGTTTGTCTCACAAAACCTGGAGGAAACTGTCCCAGCTGGTCGGTGCAGGCAGCTGTGGTTCCTGACCATCCCCTGCATGTGAGCCCAGGTAAGGGAGAGAATTTTGCATCATTTGTGCTTTATTTTTCTGCCTGAAAATTAAAAAGGGTCTGAGAGGTTCTTGTGGCTGGACCTGAGGGAGCAGGAGCTTCTCCCAGCAGCAGCCTCTGCTTCAGATTGGTGGAATAGGAGGGAGCAGAAGAGAAGGAGATGGAGCCCCAGAGGCAGAGCCTGCCTTCGCCAGCCCGTGGCCACTTAATGAGCTTCTGCAGTGCCACGAAAACAATCATTAACGCAGTGATAATTAGCACTGTGCCCTCCCTCAGCCCGTGCCACATCGCTGGATTTGTTTTGCTTTGCATCAGGACTCACTGGGCTCATCGATGCATTGATGATCCCTCCTTGCCCTGCTCTCCTCCCTGTGTTATCATCCCTCCCATGGGTGAGTGCCTGGAAACCCAGTGTGGTTTGAGCTGTGAAAAGTGATTTTTTCCCCCCTATATTGTGACACAAAACTGTGGATTCCCATCCTGCTTCTACTTCCACAATTGCCTTCCTGCCACCCTTCAGAAACAGGGCCTTGATTGCTATTTTGTTGTTGTTGTTGTTGGGTTTTTGGGGTTTTTTTGGTTTTTTTTTTGATTGCTGGATTCAATGATCCTTGTGGGTCCCTTCCACCTCCACAAATTTCCTGTGGTTTCAGTGTGATACCCATGGTGGAGTTTTGAACACAAAATTGGGATTCTTTCCCTCTTGACCCCCAATTTCTGGTGCCATTGGGCTGTCATTTAGCACTCTGAGCAGCAGTGGGGTTATAAGCTACCTGCTCTCTCATCTCATTTTCTTCTGGAAAAAAAAATTGGCAGTTTTGGGGATGAGAAAGCTACAATTTCAGGAACAGTTAAAAAAAGGAATTTTGGGGAATGAAGAAGCTACAATCTCAGGAATGGAAAAAAATGCAATTTAGGGAATGAAGAAGCTACAATTTCAGGAATGGAAAAGCTACAATTTCAGGAATGGAAAAAAATGCAATTTCAGGAATGAAAAAGCTACAGTTTCAGGAATGGAAAAAAAAGCAATTTCGGGAATGAAAAAGCTACAATTTAAGGAATGGAAAAAAATGCAATTTTGGGAATGAAGAAGCTACAATTTCAGGAATGGAAAAAAAAATGCAATTTTGGGAATGAAAAACCTGCACTTCAGGGAACGAAAAATCCTGTCTTTAGGGCGTGCAAATCACTTGTGGGGAATTCAGGAGGTCGATTTCCAGGCTGCTGCACCCTCCCCATCGTCCCTCAGGCCTGTTGGGTGCCCTTACCTCCATGTAGACCACCCAGGGCATGCAGAGCGTGGCCACCAGCAGGTCCGCCACAGCCAGGCTGACGATCAGGTAGTTGGTGGTGGTCTGCAGGGCCCTCTCCCTGGACACTGCCATGCACACCAGGACGTTGCCAAAGACGATGATGAAGATGAGGAGGGCCAGCAGCACGGCGTAGTAGTTGTAGTGCGGCTTCTGCGCCGCCTCCGAGGCGTTCAGGGCCCTGCTCCAGTTCCTGTCCCCGTCGTACCACGAGAGGTTGAGGGGATCCATGGGGCCCCGAGTGCCAGCTGCCAGCTCCACCCTGCCACACAGGTGTTGGACAGGCCCTTGGGGCAGTGGGGGAAAAATGAAAATGGAAAAAAAAAAGAAAATCAGGTTTTGCTGCCTCGCTCGTGGTCTGCCCGGGGAGGTGGTGCAGTCCCCATCCCTGGGGGTGTTTAACAAAGCTCTGGGTGCCAGGGTTTGGATGAGGTGTTGGGGCTGGGTTGGACTCAATGATCTTTGAGGTCTCTCCCAACCTGGTCATTCTGTGATTCTGGGAATTTTGGGAATTTTGGGAATTCCCAGGGAATGGGAATGGTGGAGTCCCCATCCCTGGGTGTGTTTAACAAAAGCCTGGATGTGGCTCTGGGTGCCAGGGTTTAGATGAGGTGTTGAGGTTGGATTTGATGATCTTTGAGCTCTCTCCCAACCTGGTCATTCTGTGATTCTGTGAATTCCCTGGAGCCTGTCCTCCCCACCCTGGTGAAAGGTTTGGCTGGAGATGGGATGGATGCACAGCTGCTGGCCCAGGCAGGGGTTGCAGAAGTTGGTTTTTATTTCCAGCTCAGCCCCAGGTTTCTGTGGCAGCTCCTCTGTGCTACAGCTGGCTCAGAGTGCCTGGGCTGTTCTGTCCCTGCCATTCCCTGCTCCCTGTTAGGTGTGCACAGTTCAGGGCACAAGTGCCATGACCCACTTTGTTTATTCTCCATGTGCTTCGTGGGGCTTTGGGCTGTATTCCTTTCTTTTTTTTTTTTTTTCTTTTTTCTTTTCCTTATATGTTGTTTTTTTTTTTTCCTCCAGCAGTGAAATAAATAAATTTTAAACCCTGAATAGTGACAATGATGGAAGTTGACAGCAGCAGCTTTTGCAGCCAGGGCTGGGCTGTGCTGCCTCTGCCATTGCCCCAGTGAGGTGACAGTGAAGGGGACACGGTGGGGACAGCACTGCTGCCACCCCACAGCCCTCAGCAGCTCCTGGCACTGGGAACACGATTTCCTGGTGAGAGGAACGGTGGATTTGTCTTTCCAAACCAGCTGTGGGCCTGCTGGTGGGTAAAACCAGCACTGGGAGAGAAAAGAAACAATGGGAAGGATTCCACTGATGGATGAAGGGAAAAAGATTTGATTTTACAGATAAACTGTAGGTTTGCTGAGAAATGAAATTAGACACTGAGAGATGAAAGAAACAATGGGGAAGAAAAACCCCTAAATTCCAAAGGACCAAATATTCCATGTTTAATGGAAGGATCAAATATTCCATGTTTAATGGAAGGATCAAATATTCCATGTTTGAGGGAAAGGTCAAATATTCCATTTGAGGGAAGAGTCAAATATTCCATGTTTGGTGGAAGGATCAAATAGTCCATGTTTAGTAGAAGGATCAAATATTCCATGTTTAGTAGAAGGATCAAATATTCCATTTGATGGAATGGTCAAATATTCCACGTTTGGTGGAAGGATCAAATATTCCGTGTTTAATGGAAGGATCAAATATTCCACGTTTAAATGGAAGAACCAAAAATTCCATGTTTAATGGAAGGATTAAATATTCATGTTTAAGGGAAGGATCAAATATTCCATGTTTAATGGAAGGATAAAATATTCATGTTTAACGGAAGGATCAAATATTCCATGTTTGAGGGAAGGATCAAATATTCCATTTGAGGGAAGGATCAGATATTCCAGGTTTGACCAAATATTCCACGTTTTCCAAGCTGCATCTCCACCAAGACCACACTGGGAGGTCTGGCCCTGCTCTCAGACACCCCAAACCAAGGCCACTTAATTTCCTTAATAAAAAGACAAAGTGACTTCGATTTATTAAACCACGTAAGTGATCAAAATAGCAAAACATTTGCAAATATCAAATTCACCTGGGAACAATGGTTTCTTTATGTTTCACTGAGCTTTTGTGTGCTTTTCTCATTCAGAGAACAATTTGGATAATAATCCTTGGAAATTTGTTGCATATGGGTCCTTAATAGCTGATAATTCAAAAAGTGTCTGTCTGACAGTGCTATCAGCAGCACTTGATAGCTCTACAAATGTCTTCTTAGGAGCTGTCAAAGTGTCAGAAATTAATTAAATGTTAGCTTCTGTGACTCAGAGTGAAGGGGAAAAATCAATGCTAAATACAGCAACAGTTTTTTCTCCTCTCCTGTTGCCCTTTCATAATGCAAAACTATCTCGAGGAGGCAGAACCATGCAGAAAATGCAGGGTGGGACAAAAAAAAAATATTTTAAAAAAGGCAGGGGCATGGAGAAGTGTCCTTGAGGTGTAAAAGGGTTGGAGATGGGCAGGATCAGTCACTTGGCCTGGGCTGGTTTTGCTGAGCTCTGAGTGCAGGAAGAAAATTGGCTTTGAAAAGGAAAGGCCACAGATGGAGATGGGCTCAGCAATCCCAGCCCTTGCCAGGCTGTTCCAGCTCCCTGCTGGATTGGAGGAGGCATTTATAGCTCATCTCATGTCCATTCATCAGGAATTTCCTCAATGGTGCTTAGGGAGCGTGTAAAAATCCCTGGATAAAGAAATCAACATTTCCTTTCATTTCCTTCTCTATATCCTCAAGAGGTTTTTATTTTCTTTAAATAGAACTATTTTCACAGTAATAATTTTTGCCTTTATGTGCACCATGGGGAAAGTTAATGTTTGAATATTGTACAAAGGAAAAGATTCGGTGTTTCTATTAAAGAATAAAGTTTTAATTTGGGAGAATGAAAGAGAAGAAAAGTTCCAAATATTTTGCATGGAATAGGGAAACTTAAACACCAAAACCTAGAAATTAAAACTGTGTGATCACACAATTAAAGGCTGTATCCAGCACACATCCTTGTGGCACAAACTACAGTTACACGGACAATTCTGTTAATCCCCAGCTGTGGAAAGTTTGAGTTTTCAGTGCTAAAAAGAACTTTCAGTTGAGTTTTCAGTGCTAAAATGAGCGTTCTTTTCCCATCCCCAGCCCCAGAGCTGGCAGCATTCTTGGTGGCCATTAGGGAGGTTTGTGAGTCTCTCAGTCCTGCTTTGAGGAGCAATTTTGATTTTAGTGCTGACAGTTCCTCAGCAAGAGGAAAGAAAGAAGAAATAAAGAAAGAAGCACTTAAAGAGCTGGCGGGGAGAGGGAGGGCTTTTCCCTGCCCTATCCAAAAGCTGCACTTTCCTGGGGAAAAGGGATCAAAAACCACAGGGGAAAGGCACAAACAGCACCTGGCTCTGGCCTGGTTGAAGTTCCTGTACAGAGATAAAACAGAGCCTTGGTTTGGGGGAGAAAGAGCCCAGAAAGGAACAAATTCCCTTATTTAGAATTAAGGGCAGCAAAGCCACTCTAATTCCCACCCCAGAGCTTTCCAGGGTGGCTGAGCTGATCCAGCCATGGATTAGCTGCAGGGTCAAGGGCAGGACAGGGCTGCAAGGTTGCAGCCTCGTGTTTGATGGCAGCAGTGCAGCAGCACCTGCTGCTCCTCATCCTCATCATCCTCCCTGCTCCAGAAAAACACCCCTGCAAGCAGCTCTCCAGCAGCTGGAGGGTGGGACATCTCAATAATACCATACCAAAAAAAGCCTTCTGAAAGGCCTTTTTTAATATCATTATAATAATTATTTTATTATATTATTTATAATTATTATTTATAATTAATTTTTATTTTTATATAAAATTCTTTAAACTTTTTTTAAAGTACAGTTTTAAAATACAGTTATACAGTTATTTTTAAAATACAGTTTAAGCCCTGCTACCCTGGCTGAGCTAGCAGCTAGTTGGTAAGTTCCCATGTAAAAGGATAATGAAAATAAAACCCAGTTAACACAACAGTCTATTCTAGTAAGAAAACCATTCACACCTCTAAAAACAAAAAGTCTTTCCCGTAAGAATCTGCAAAAAAAAAATTATGCGAACACCTGAGTAAAGAAAAAGTCTTAACACATTCACACAGAGACATTTTCTAACCAATAAATTAAGTAGCAAAAAAATCAATAGTCAATTTGATTTAACACAGTGCCCTCTGATATCCCTATAAAAATATAAGATATATGATAAAGATTCAGCTTTTCTGCTAAAGAAATCGAGAATCCTGTGTGTTTGTGTTAGAGCAGGGGGAATCTGCTGGAATTCACAGGGAGAAGGCAGCCAGGAAGGGGCTGCAGTGCAGAGCCAGGGCTTTGCCCTCCTCTGCTGGCAGCTCCCCCTGCTTTTCCAGAGATCAAACTGAAAAATGTTCATTTGCTGTGCCATTATTTCCCCAAGGCTCCACATGATGGATCCTCTAATCAGGATTGTGGCAAACAGCACGAGAGGGTAAATGTGGGGTGTTCACAGCCCAGAAGAACCCTTTGTGTCTCTGGCAGCTTCTGGAACCTTTTTCCTCTCAGAACCAGCAAAGGTGCAACTCTCCTTTTGGTTTTCACCCTGCTTGCAAACCCTTCCAGGAATAAAACCCTGGCAGAGCTGATCCTGGGAAAGGTTTGGGGCCATGGACCAGAACTGCAGCCAGCCCTTGCTCCTGCATGCAACCCTCTGTGATTTTGCCTCAGTCATGGCCCATTTAAGATGAAATCTGGAGCTCAGGGTGAGATTTCAGGGCCCAACTTTTCTCTGGACTCCAGACATGGCCCATTTAAGGTGAAATCTGGAGCTCAGGGTGAGATTTCAGGGCCCAAGATTTCTCTAGACTCCAGAAATTATTTTGGACCCTAACTCAGGGTGCACCCAAGAGGGAAAGAGCAGCCAAAGCCATGAATTCTAATTCTAATTCTAGAGCATCCCCAAGGGCCCTGTCCCACTCAGAACAGGCCCCACCTGCTGTCCCCAAGGCATTTGGGCCTGCAGGTGTTGCCAGGTTAAAATTTCCTGCTAATTTTTCTGCCCAGAGCTGCCCATCACTCCCAGGCAGAACCTCTCCAAAGATCTGGCACAGAAATCAATGTCTAAGTGGAATTTGCACAGAACACTGCCTCCCTGGATGTTGTCACTTTGCTCTGGAATTCTGGAATCAATGGGCCATGGGAAGCTG